AGTCAAGAGGATCGAACGGGATCAGGCGCTTAACTTTCCCTTAAGTGACAGTAGTCTTTTGTGCTGTTACTATGGCACTATTTACCCTCACTCACCTGCACTAAATGTCAAGACAGACTCAAGGAAACCAAGGCTGGTACTGCTACTAATACTGCTGCTATTTCTACTATTACTACTTCTAAATACCTAGGAGTGTAGTTGAGTGATATGAGTACTGGTAATATTACTGAGGCTTTTATTAGTCAGAAGTGGCGCTGATTTAATTCAGCGCTGGGCTCATATCCCCTCAATCCCAACAGGAAGTGTTAACCCCGGATCAACCATTCCCAGTAAGTGCATATTTGGAACCCGGAGCACAATAGGGCCTCCCTTGGTTTCCGCCCAGTCAACGCTATCCACGCGAGTGTGGCAGTTTCTACTCAGTTTGGACTACGAGGACTAGGATACTGCTACCACGGACAGTGTGTCTACAGTAAGAGTAGTAATTATAGTGATGATTTGTCCTAAGCCCAGTAAATGGTATAGTAGAATACGGCCTGTGCGTGCTTGTAGTAAGGATGGCGAAGGGGTGTTCACTGTTTGTGTTACGGGACAAACACTTGTTCCGTCCTGTTCAATCTCGCCCACAAAACTTGTGATTGCCTATGGCTGGCCGATGACTGCTAGTTAGCCCCAAATTGCCCCCTTGAAATCTCTCAATATAATTATTTAAGTTGTGACATAAAAAAAAGAAGGTCTGCCAAATACGGACGTTGAGCGAACCTCATTGGTGAAGTAGAGAAAGTTGTTTCAAAGTCTACGCAGCTTTTTTGTGTCTGTCCAATAACCAAAACGGATGTAGGGAAAGTGGAAGGACCGGCTGTGTCGGTCTATTTTTTTTTACGAACTCTCCACTTCTCTTAACCTCTGAGCACAAATTAGCCAATGCTTCTGCGGTTGAAACTTCAGCCTCTGCTTATATGTGAGAGTATAAACGCCGGCCTCTTACCACATATATAACGTGGCTTCGAAATCTACTATCTGTTCATTTTGAGCACACTGTTGTGAATAGTTTTTTATGCAACGCATTGGCTTCTCAGACTTATATCATTTCAGACTTAGCCAAAATAATGGGGAAATATTAGATTTGATCTGCGTTCGACCGAGTTAATGCTTTTGTGCCCAAACTGTCTAAGCTAGCCATTTTTTTTGATTTATTGCTTTAGGACCCATTTGTTTCGCTTGGCTGGTTAAGCCCTGCACAAAAGTTGATTTTTGATGAGTACTGCAACCGCTACGGCATCCGATCCTGTCAGCGTCACTTGATTTTTCTCCAAGAACTGATCAGGTACGGTGAAGAGGATATAACAATTGACATGGAGCTGTTACATCAGTCTTACGTCATCTGCGCGGATCATGTCCACGGAAAGGCGTAAGTACTTCTTCTTTTTTTAACCTCTGTTTCCTGCACAGCGATATCATCCGGAAAATGAAACGTATAAAACAATCTTTATGGGCGCATGCGCTGTTGCTCGACGCACGCAGTATTACTGAACCGAGGGTGGTACTCAGCTTATCGTCAATACGAGCGAAGTAATTGGAAAGAAGGTGAAGACTCGATCGCTGAGACAACACTTTTATTCGCCTGACGTTTTGACATCCGTTGCGGATTCTTCATCAGAGACATGAGCCGAAAGCAGTAGCAGAAGTAGGTAAAACATACACTGGGAGTTTCAGTATTTATATGACAGAGTCATTACTGCACACTTATGATGAGGCCAAAATTCTAGCAAGAGGCAACAATCCTGTGAGCCGAGAATTACTTGAGTCATCGTTCACGAGTCCCCAGTCCATAAACAAGTGCAACACTTGGCCTAATCCATATTTGGTGCTGAGGCTCAATTGGACCAATTGGGCAACGCACAGGCCACCGCGTCGTCTTACGCCAACACCGAGGTACCACACGGCCGAGCAATCATCACGTCCAATTTCATCACGCATGATGAAAGTTCAGCAAGTCAGGGCCCGCATTTCGGTAATCAAGCCATCAACACACAAGAGGACCGTTATCGTTAATAGTCGTTGTACGTGTGCACTAATGACTGTGTCCTATAAATGCTGCGAATTCCCGTGTATATGTTACCCGTTTCTGCCATTGCTTTCTGCTCATGTTGCTGAGGAATAATCCGCGTCAGATTTCGAAACGTAGGCGAATAAAAATGTTGTCCCAGCGATCGAATCTTCTTCTCACTGAGCTTATCACGCATATTTTGCGCAAATTCACTAGCATTATCGAACAATAAGGCTGAAAGATTGACTTCTGACCTCGCCTTGAACGTATTAATTTCCTGGTAAGCAGTAGAAAGAAAGAGTCACTCTGGATACTCCGTCACGTAATTTTATCTTAATTCCAAATGCTGGTAGATACACATTTCGTTCTAGGAGCATCATCAGTGGTCGCCACATGTGCCGCGCATACACTGTAGTACATTTAGCCGAACCATTAGCGTGTTTCCGACCACGCTGCTTCGACAGCATCTACCTCTCGCAACATCCGAAGGTATTTCTTACAAATATCCATAGTCAAATTAAATTACCTAACTGACGGAAGTCTCATCCATCGTCGACAGCTTGATCCGCATTTCCGCGCTCGCCGTCCTATCCCGCATTAGTGGGCTTAACGAGGCTTACCTCATCCCCCGTTTAACATCTGTTCAGTTCAGTTCAGTTTTATTAGGGAAATATAGGTAAATACCTTTGA